CTGCCCGTACAGGTGTACCTCCGACACATGGACTAGGATTTCCCTGGCAAAAAAAAAAAAAAAAAAAATTTCAAGCCGTCTGCAGGACTATTTCAGGATTTTCTCGGAATGTCGTGGGAATCAGCATTCCTGCCATGGGAAGTAGAGTCTGCGTGGCTCCAGTTACCAGCTGGTCTGTCTGGGACTGTATTTCTGAGCTAAGTGGATCTTCGGCAGGACCACCTAACTCTCCTCCCGGGATCCCAAGTCCAGGGAAGACGAGTGGCCACCTTTGTATAATTTCCCCTCGTTCCCCACCGTGGCCCGTCCTTCTCCATCCCTGTAGCCGCCATGGGATTCTGCTTGCTTCTGCTGGGTGACCATCAGGCCACTTTGCCACTGTCCCTGGACACTGCCAGGAGCCCAGTGGACAATCTGATCATTTAAGAAGAGGTTAGTCCTTCCAAAACAGACTTTTTTTTTTTTGTCTTTTCATTTTTATCGGTACCAGGGATCGAACTCACGACCGCCTGCTTGCAGGGCAGGTGCTTATGCCGCTGAGCTAAATCCCCAGCCCCTGACAGACTTTTTTTTTTGTGCTCATGGCCAAGTTATACAATCCTTGATTCTCAACACTTAGCAAGAGCCCAGTAGATTGCTGTCTTCCTTCAGGAAATGAGGTTTTCCCCAGCCGCTGCCCCCTCCACCGTCAGTTCTGCGCAAATGGGAGCAAAGAGCCGCTAGGCGCCACGTCCGACCTGAGGTCTCCTGGGGAGCTGCTTTGCAAAGGAGGGCGCCCAGTCTTCCAGGGTTAGGGCCACTGGAGGGAAGGTGGAGCTTCCGGAGCAGCCCAGCTTGCTCTGCCATGCCTGAGGGGCGGAAGTGGCCGCTTCCTGTCCCTGTCTGGGTCCCTCGCAGGAGCCTGGCTGTGGGGTCCATGTGCAGCGAACCGATGCAGGTTGGTGCTGGACTGAACTTGAGGGGAGCCCATCTGTCACCTGAGGCCTGTGCCACTGGGCCTTCAGCTGATGGGGTGTGTGAGCTACTCGGGGTCCACAGACTTCAATGTGAGTCTCATTCAAAAACTATTCTCACAGAAACACCCAGAATGCTGTTGGATTAAGTATCTGGGCACCGTGGCTCTCTTTGTTTGTTTGTGTTGCTAAGAGAATACCCAAGAGTAGGTAATTCCAGCAGCCTCATGAAGTGGCAGCATAAGACACAGTATTGTCCTTCTGTTCCTCACTTGTTCCACTTCGTGTAAGTCAGGGTTTCTCCACGCAGTATGAGAACTTCACCATGTTCGGAGGGGGCTGGGTCCACCACACTGTGTTTACCATCCACCTGTCAGGGAACACCTGGGTTGTTCTTAGCTTTCGGCAGCTGTGCCTAGTGCTGAGTGAACACTGGTGTACAGATAGGGCTGAGTCTTTGCTTTGCACGGAATTGCTGGGTCACATAGTCATTCTATGGCTAATTTCTGAGACACCTCTATCCTGTTTTCCACAGAGCTGCCACCATTTTACCTCTAACCAACAGTCACAAAGGGCTCCAGTGTGTCCACATCCTCAGCGATATATGCTGTTTTCTGGGAAGTGTGTCTGAATTTGCTTGTTTTTGTTTTTGTTTTTATAGGAGCCATTTGAAAGGGCATGAAGTGGAAATTTTTTTATGAGGTCAGAGTTGAGCATTCGCAGCCCCCAAAGCACTTGCACATCACTACTGTAAGTCTCTTCAGGGCTCTGCAGATCACAGTCTGAAAGCCAGAGCCAGGGCTTGACCCTCTCTTAGGGTTCGCATTATAGGATCAAGCCTTCCTTGACTTCCTTGACTTCATTCCAAGAAGCAGGAGAGGTGGTTGGTTTCAAGCTAGAGGCCAATAAAGGAAGCGGATACCTCAGCACAAGGGCTGGGGCCCAGGCCCTGATGGGAACCAGCTGCCCCTCCAGAGGAGAAGCCAAAGAAGGATTCATCCTTCTTCCCTTCTCCTTCTTCCCCTGTCCTCTCCTGGTCTCTCTCTCTCTGTACACACAGAGGTTTGTTTCTATGTCGCTAAGACAAAATACTCAACCTTCACCACTCAAAAGAGAGGTTATCTTGGCTCACAGATTGTAGGATTTCAGTCCATAGCTGACTGTTCGGGTCAGGACAGCAGGACAGAAGGACATGACAGACAGTCAGAGGAGGACTGAGGGAGATAGACCCTTCCGGGCCACACCTCTCCCAACCTTTCTCACCTCCTGTTGCAAGTTAGCTGTAAGCGCCCATAAACCAGGGACCTGCCCAAAGCCCAGCCTATGAGCACATGAGGATGAGAGGGGCAGCTAGATAAGCCGTAAGACACGCTCTCCATTCTCCTCTGCTCCCTTAGAGCCTCAGCGTGAACATACTACAAGAGATCACCTGGCTTAAAAAATGAAATCATCAGCAGTCTGCGATCTTCAGGGTGTAAATCAGGCAAGCTCACACACTCACCAGAGGAAACCACCAGGAATCCCAGGGGGTCCCGGGCACCCTTACCTGGACTCCTCTACCTATACAGGACTACCCATCACAGCATGGCAAGGCCTCTGTCCTACCCAGGCCTTGCAGCCCACCTGTCTCTAAGAACTAATGTCAAATACCCCAGGAGCCAGGCTGGGGGGCTCTCACATGCTGCTTCTTATCACCCCTATCTCAGGGCGACTTTTCAGCCTTTCTGGGGGCTCCCTCGCTCCTCCCAGGCCCACAGCATTCCTGAACCCCGCCCCATTCTGCAGAATGTCCTAGCACCCGGGGGACACCAAGGACCCAAATTCTCCCTCAGGTACACTCAAGGGGTTTGAGGCCTCGAAGTCCAGCAGGGCTGCCCATCGTGTGTGTGTGTGTGTGTGTGTGTGTGTGTGTGTGTGTGTGTGTGTGGCTGCACTAACAGATGATCCATCCCAGCTCAACTGGCTTAAGTGAAAAGCAGCGCGTGCCCTCTTGTGGAGGCAGAGGTCCCGCAGGGCCTTTCCAGCCTAGGTTGACCCGAAGGCTTAACAGTGTCAAGGACTCAGGTTTTTCCAGTTTCCTACCAGCAGCTTCATTCAGTGTGGCCAGCTGGTCTCTCAGGCACCCCTATGGCAGGGGAAGGGAGAGGAGGCCTTCGTCTTTGTCGCCCTTCTTTTTCAGAGCCCCTTGGGGCCGACAGCATCACATGATCTGCCTCAGCCAATCACTGCCCAGGTGGGACCACCAAGATTTTACCCTTGACCAGGTGTCTCCCGAGACTCCCATGTCTGAGTCAGTCTGCAGGAAAATGGGCAGATTCGTGAGCAAAACTGGGGTGCTGTGAAGGAGGAGGAAGGGGCTAAGGCAGGCAGATGGGGCCACCACACTGACCTTTGGGACACGTATCACATATTTTTCACTTTATTCCTTTTCTATCAGAAGTATGTAAACGTCTCCTGGTTTAAATAACTATTCAGTGCCGATGTATATGAAGTAAAAATAAGAAAGGAACCTGTCCAGTCTAACATCCCTCATCAGAAGGTACTGCCCTTTTCTGCCTAACTCTCCATTCAAACAAGTCCACTTCAGTCACTGTAGTGCCCAGACACGATTCCACAGCAGGGTATTTCACTGCCTCGCCTTTTAGCTAGCTATTAGGGTGCTCCTGACCCTTCACTAGGTCACAGCCGTGCTGAGGACGTTCTTTCCCTTCCCTCTTCAGACCTTTGCATACAGTGTTTTCCTACAAAGTGAAAGTCAACCAACAGCTACAGACAGAAAAACTGTCCCTTGAAGCCACCCAACAGTTGTTTTAGGATTTCTGACCGTCCTGACAGAGCCCTCTCAGCTTGCAGCAGGGTGCAGCATCCGGGCTATCAGCTTGGGACGCTCTCATTCACCAAAACAGGGACAGGAGAGAGAGTTGTAGGTCTGCACTGTCTGCTTGGAAATGTTCTCTGGGTTCAGAAGGGGCTGTGTCTCCCTGAGCAAGACCTTGGCTCGGGGCACCCAGCTACCTGCAAAGTTGTACATTATCTCCATTCAGCTCCCACGGGAGCATCAATAACAGCTGCCACTTCCTGGAGAACCTTTCAAGGCTATACTAATGGTGTTTGCAGACCGTCAAGCTGGAGCGCTCTATCCATATGCCTAAACACACTCAATAACCCTCTCCAGGTTTCTCACAGCAGTCGAAGCCACGTAAAACAGACGCCAAGTGAACCTCCTCTAGTCCCGTTGTCGGGGAGAAATGATTTCAGTATGAGGCTGTCATCTCCAGACAGACTCACCGAAGTCAGGGCTGGGGTGAGCTGCCTCCGGTAACCACTGTCTGAAGCAGATGTTGCTGTTCCAAGCTGCTGATAGCAAAGGTGTTCGGCATCTCAGGTCTTGGGGCTGCTCCTTGTACTTCACAATCTGCTGCGCTTCCTGTAGTCCTCCCTGCCAAAAAAATTACCATCATGCAGGAGCAAAGGATAGAAACACACGGCTCCCAGATGTGCCCCAGCATCAGGGAGGACCCGCCAAGGCTGGGAAAGGCAACGTGGAACCAGAAGGAAATCAGGCAGTAGGAACGAGGTTGAAAGGAGTTTATGTCTCTCGGCTGGTAACACACAACGAGGAGATCTTTAGTTTTAATTATGAAAGCTCCCTGGGGCAGCCCAGGCTGGGTGCTCTGCTAACCTGCACGCCCTTAGCTGTGTGTTCATCTACTGGATGGGGTGGGCGTTGTTGCGGGCAGAGACAATGTTTTCCCAATGTCGAACTATATGTCTGCTGTCCTTGGGATTCGAAGGAGAAAAAGAAGAAACTTTCACAGCAACCTGGAGCTTTCTTTTAGGGGAAATTTTCTTGACAGAATGTTCTGTTTTAACTGGTAATGAAAGTGAGCAAACCCCTCCTGGCATACGTAGGTTTCCCCCACGCTGAGCCTACCCCAAAGAGAAACAGGCCCAAGAAGGGCTGCAGGGCGTCTCCTCACTAGAGGCAACTGCTCCTGGTGGTTTACGGTCTGGGTCACTTCAGTTTCTCACGTGTCACCTTTCCAGGGGCTGCAAGGCCCAGCGATCTGGACACAGGCCAAGAAGTCAAGGACTGTTGAAGCCGTAGTCTCCACTCTTCTCCCAACACCAGCGACCACCCAGCCCAGCCAAGCCATATGGCCTCTTGCTTTGCTGATGTATGAGGTGGGTCGAATGTTTTTCCCCTGAAAAAGGACTCCAAGGGATTAATTAGTTAAAATCTGTAAGCATGTATCATTATAATTATTATTCCAGTTTCTATTCAAAACTGTACAGGTCAAAAGAAAAAAAAATTGACACTCCCTCTGAGGGCAGAAACCTTTCTGGTATTTCTGGTCTGGCTGGTTGGGAGAGCATCCCAGGAAACTCAGTGCTTTACTGGCCCAGAGCTGTGCCTGCCACACTTGCGGGTGAGGAGATGAGAACCCAGCTAAGTCCCAGATGTAGTTGGAATCTCGGCGTTCACACTGTATTTGTTTACCAAAGCCAGGGCGGCTCCCGTGACAGTCAAGGTGGAAAGGCCTGTATACAGGACGACCTTAAACCTTCAAATTCTTCACAGGTTGGTAGGTTGGAAGGTGATCAGTAAGGCGCATTTGGACTTCCCTGGTATCAATCTGAAAACAATGCTGTGTTAAGTGCTGTATTCCTCAATAGCGACTCTCCATTATATTTATCTTGTTGACAGGACTCTATTAGTCAATGCTTACCAATGGCTCCCATTCTTTGGCACTAAAATATTCCATCTCATCCCATTCCTGCTTCCCTGTGGCCAGCACCACACTCAAACACCTATCTTTTCAATGGCACAAAGGACCTCACTTGCTTTCCAAACTGGGGGCGCCATTGTGACTGCCTGTGACTTCCTGTCAGAGCTCTTCCCAAGATGGGGGACATCAGAAACGCCCGTCACACAGTTGGGCAGCTGTCTCTACCTGCGGTGTTAGGGTCTTCCCACTGTTCAACTACCAAAAGGCGGGACAGGGCACTACAGGCCCAAAAGCCAAGCCTAAAATCCAAGTGGAGGCAGAACAACTTGACACTGTTTAAATGAGCAGATTTTAAATACTTGATGAATATTTACTCCCAGGAAAGGCCTAGCGCTCTTAAATGAATAATAGCCCAGGAAAGAGCCCAAAAAAGACAGCCTCAGTCTTAATACTATGTCGAAAAGTTCATTTCTGACCCTAAATTTTTAGCCCCTCAGCAACACAAAAGTTCCGCAGTCGGTAGCACCCAATTTTCCCACAAGAGAGTGTCCACGAGGGCCTAACTCCTCCCTGGAGGCCCCTTTTATCTCCCATAGCTACTTCCTCTAAAGAGAATTATGGAAAATACTATCATCTCTTCATCTTTCTACTGAGTTCAGTGATGTTGCCGCCACTCAGCTGGCTAAAAGATGTTGCTTCTTTCCAGAGCCCCGGGAGGTCTCTGGTACCCATCAGGGGTGGCTCTGTGCCTGCATGCTCCCTGCCCACCATCCCTAGCTCCCAGGAGACTCCCAGCATACCTGTCACATGAGATGTGGCAGAAGGTGAGGGAGGGCAGATTACTCTGTGGGTCTTTCTGAGCTTAATACCCCTTCTACCTTGACACCCCCCTCAAGTCCCGTTGGTCATCTCTCCCAGCCTCTCTGTGCTGCTTGTGATGCTCCTTGTGAATGCACAGGGCATCTGTGCACCTCTGTGGCTTGTGAACTTCCCTATTTCACTGTGACTTGCTTCCAACCACCATTTCCATGACGGCAACTCGAGCTGCATGGAAACTGGCTTTCGGGCAGGCCGTGTGATTTTCCCCCTTTGTCTCTTTAGAGGAAGTCCAAAGCCATCCTTCAGTCACCTTTGAGCCACCACTGTCCATGCAGACTGTCCCCAGACCACAGAATAAGTGATGGAAAGAAAGACCAAGCTGGAGTAAACACTATTTTTCCATCATTGGAGCAGCTCTGAAAACATTCTTTGGCGGAGAGCACCATAGCCTATTTTATAGTAACTATACACAACTTTTAAGAAAACTATTTCTGAGACCAATGGTATCATGTGGAATCGCACCGGCGGGGTGGATTTAAACAGGAAACGTCTCCTTTCCTCTTGCTCCGTTTGTACATCGTAACTGAACACACGAGCCCTTGTCTTGGGGCTTTTTCAGCTCCTTCAGGATGCTCAGGACCCCCAAAGCCTGGAGCCCCCATACACACGGCAATGCGTTTCATGCAGTGCCTGAGGCTGCCGTGGCTTGTCACCCAAACCAGAAGCACACCGAAAGTTGTGTTTTGTCTCTTGCGTGTGAAGCACGGCCGTGTCTGCAGCCCCTTGTTTTGGGTTCCGTCCGCCTGCAAGGTGTTGCCGTTTCTTGCAGCTCTGCTGCTGTGCCACAGAGGTTGTACCATGTGAAAGCAATGCATATCTTATCAAACCACACAGACGAGTGCAGCGATGCACACAGACCTCTCTCCAACCTTGGACTCCTAGCTGTACTGCCCTGCTTAGAGAAGGAGTCTCTGCTCCATCAAAATGCTTATGCTCCTTTTGAAAAAAAATACAGATGGGATCATGCCATCCTCTGCCCCAGCTTGCTTTCTTCTGCTTCACAGTGTGACTTGGAATCTTTCTTATATTACTACCTAAGGAAGCATCTATTAGTTTTGGTTTTGTTTGTTTTGCTTTGTTTTCAAGACTAGGTCTTGCTAAATCGCCAGGCTCGCCTTGCACTTGAGATCCTCCTGCTGTATGCTTTCCAAGTAGCTGAGTTTCAAATTTGCATGCCACAGACCCCAGCTACATCTTCTCTCTTAATGGGACATTCTGCTTCATTGCACAGTACATCATAAATTAGTTCACAAATCTCTTATTGAAGGACTTCTAGGGTTTCTCTAGATTTTCTTCCCTTAGAAATAGTCAGTATATATTGGCCTTTGGTCATGTGTGTCTCCACTTACCCCTGGGGTAGAACTGCAGGATGCATTTCACTGAAAGCAGGATATTCACAGCATGTACATCTATATCTAGCTATCTATATATATATATTTTTTTTTTTTTTTTTTGAGAAAGGGTTGTGCTATGTAGTGCAGGATATGTAGTTCAGGCTGGCCTTGAACTCGCTCATGCAGCCCAGGCTGGCCTCAAACTCACAGCAATCCCCCTGCCTCGGCCTCCCCAGTACTGGCATTAGTTGTGTGCCACCATGTCCAGCTTTTTATGTTTGTTTTGTCATTTGGATAGCTATCACCAGACTGCTTTCCAAAAAGACACTGACAGAATGTTAGCACAACAGCGGCCATTTTTCAGAAAAGCTAAATAAACACCCTCATAGGTACCCATGAGTAGAAATCCAGCCTCTCTTCCATCAAAGCCGGCTGAGCTGCTGCCCCGAGCCAGGAAGGGCTCACTTGGAGCTCCTGCCTGCCTCTCTTCTGAAGCTACACATGACAGATGAGGCGATTCCGAGTGGTTCTGCATTTTCCTTCACTGTGATCAAGGAGCCTCTCTTGCGTGGAGCTACAGGGCCCAAGGTTGCGCATGCGCGCTGAGCACTGTGAAGGGCCTCCCCTTCCCCTCCCCCTCTCCCTTTTTCCTCCCCCTCCCCCTCACCTCTCCCCTTATTTTCCTCCCCCTCTTCCCCCTCCTCCTTCAGTCTTCCCCAACCCAGGATCAAAGGCCGGGCCCCACACATGCTAGGCAGGTGCTCCAGGCTAAACACATCCCAGTCCATCCCGCCCGGCGCCTTCCCATCAGATGTCACCAACACATCAGGCGTGGTCGTGCTCTGTGCACGTGTTGAGGTACCAACTCTCAGTATCTGTCTGCATCTCCAGGGGACGGATAGAGCTGAGCCCTGCTCTGAACACATCTCTGGAAGTTTCCTGGGCTTCCACTGAGCTCTAAAGTCTGGATCATTTTCCCAGGAGAGTGATTCTCACCCAACAGGGAAAATCTGGGCTGGCAGCAGGAGGCTCTGAACCTTGTCTGGGTCTGGGCTGGGGCCGATTTCTGACGCTGTGCCCTCGGCCTTGGCTTCGTCTTCCCCAGCTTCCTCTTTCACGAAGCAGAGCTGCAATCTGCCACCCCAGATAGGAAAGCACCCTTGAGTCTTCCTTTCAAGTATTACTTTTTATTTCATCGAAGTCAAACGTTAGCCTTGCGTCTGCTCTCAGGTCAGGCAGAGTAGCTGTGAGATGCGAGTGACGTGAGAACTCCGGGGGTGAGGGTGAAAGGGAAACAAGCGTTTTCTATCCATCCCTCACAGCTTTTTGGTTTACTTTTTAAGTAATCTTATTATCCCTTGCAAGGTACATCCGATAGGTGTTCACACGGAGAAATAATGAGCCAAAGCGCCTCAAATGATGAGACTGTGAAGTCTGTTGTCGTTAAAAGGGCGCCAGCTGTTTTAATTTTAAATATTCTGGGAAAAATACTTTTCAGATTTCTTTGCAGAGCCTGAAGTAGCAGGTCGCAGCGGCATCTAGTGGACATTGCTGGTATAACAGTTGACGCAGATAGCACAAAGAGAACTCACTAGTTTAAAAATAGGGCGTTCATTAACTTTCCTGTTTTTCCTGTTTTTAACGTTTTTTGAAATGGTATGTCTCATAATAGATGTCCTGTCATAGTTTAATTGAAATGTTTACCTATAATTCTCCTTCTCATAACAGATGTGACCATTGTACAGCGCTTGCCTAGCATGCGGGCGGCCTGGGTTAGATCCCCACCACCACAAAACTATAATAAACATAGATAATAATAGCCGGGCGTGGTGGCTCACACTGCAATCCCAGCACTTAGGAGGCTGAGGCAAGAGCATTGTTGGGAGTTGGAGACCAGCCTGCCCTACAAAGTGAGCTCAAGGCCAGCCTGAACTGCATAGCGAGACCCTGTCTCAAAAAGACAAAAATAAATAAAATAAAATAACACAAATAATAGGATCAGCTTTGGAGTTTTTTGAACTATCCCTTCCCAGGATGCACTTCCCACTGTTGGGTGCAGCACCAGCACCCATGCATTAAGCATTGTTAAAAGTGTCTCTGTCTAATCTGAGCCCAGGTTGAGAGTATTTTCCTGCATGTAGATGAGATGTTTTCAAGACGATATGAATGTTTTAATAGAAATGCTAAATGTTCCTATAAAACATTTGATCCAGCACTCCACTGACTTGAAACCATGATGGGC